TGTCTTCCTGCCCACTTTTAGAGGCAGCGTTTTATAATGGGGACGTGCCGGTCCCATTCCCCAAGGTCACCAATACTTTACCCAGCCCGGTGAACGAGGATCGAGCTATTCTCACATTTTTCTTACACTTTCTTGCACTTGGTGTAATTGTTACACTTTCTTAAAATTTTCGCTCTTCTCGCGCCTTCATTTAATTGGGATCGTTATGTAAATGACTAGCCACTGCCGCCCACGGCACTGCAGCGTGAACTACAAATGTCCGAAATATATCAGTACCACCTGTGAAGGGGTGAAGCTGTCATGAAGGCCACGGAGGGCCATAAAGGGTCACGAGGTATTGAGGGGCCATGCACAGTTATAGAGTGTCATGAATGCATGGTCGGTGGTAGAGAACTAGAGTTGCGCCTGGAAGCGGGCGCATTGTCTAATCAGTCAGCACAACGCCGCGTCGGCAAGTACTTAAGCTCTTTTGCGACATGGTACCGCATCGTGTCGCGGTGTGGCTGCCGCTTATTGCATCGCCGTCATACTGATTGGCCCTAGACTTGGAAGGTTAATTAGGCAGTGGAGGTAATTGCCGATGAATTTAACAAAGCTTTGAGTGTCAAAGCTGTCAAAAATTGACAACAACTCGTCCAGCTAACTGTTCAGGGAATACGGGCGTCCCACTTTTCAACCATCGACCAACACGTGTCCTGCCAGCTTAGATGACTCCAGTAAGAGCGAAAGTATGTTTCCCAAGAGAACCTCCATATGTCATCCATTTCACCCAGTTCCATGTGCCCTTGCCGTCGCCCAGCAAGCTGCTTGTCGTTTATCAGGATCGGAAACCTTCCGATCGCGGTGACGTCCCTCAACATGACATGCATGGCGTTGGTATTGAAGGAACGACCACCTGCATGGGCAGCAATGTGCGCTTGAGCTTAGAGATGCACCGTTGTGTCGGAATTGTATGCTGATTCAATTTCTGTCAGAGATTCAGTGCATTAGTATTGAAGCGGCGATTGCATTGCAGCATAGAAGGTCCGCTGCTACGACTGTGCATTGAAAAACTTCAACTCGATCTGAAAGCTTGGTTCATCCAAGGAATCTGGCAGAAAGCAGTAGTAGTAAGCTGCTGTTTGAATCGCTCTGCTCACCTGCGCAGTGCGCGTTGCAGTGCCTGCTCCTTCACTTTCAGAGGGTCCTTCCCTTCTGCTTCGGTTTGTCCATATCGGTCCGCTCTCCATCGCAACGATTGACCTTTCGTGGTATCTGCATCTATTGCCGTTGGGACCGCTACGCACTAGGCGGCTGCCTCGGTAGTGCTTCGATTCCGCCAGTGTGATTGTGTCCTCTGGGCATGTGAGCGGGTTGTTGTAAAGCAATCATCGCCACTGGATTTGCCGTGCCCGCCACGCTTATCGTGCCATTCTTGGAGGTCGCCGCCGTAGCCATACTTACCTGTGTCTTCTCCTATATCACATCGCCAGCGGGATCACTGTGTTGCTGATGATTGTGCCCATCGTGTGAGGGAGGCGTGGGGAGTGTCATGTAGCCTTTCCCGTTCCATCATGGGCTCGTTTATGTAACGGACAGGCCAGGCGGAACAGCTCCTTGAGAATGAAGCGCGCCTGATGTCCGCTTGAGCTGCCACATGAAGGGAAACTTTTACTACTTTGTTTATTTACTCATTTGTTTATTTATTTATTTACGTGTTTATTATTTGTTTATTTATTTACTTGTTTTTTAGTTATTTATTTGTTTTTTTATTATTTATTTGTTTTTATTATTTTTTTTATTTTTATTTATTTATTCAGTTTTTCACCTAAGTTTACATTAATATATTCATGTGTCACCGTCATTCGATTGGCTATTCCGTTGAAGTATCCAACACACATGTTGCCCAATCATTAATGCAACGCAATGTCGAGTGACAATTCTTGGCATTCCGCGGCATCCTGCGCACCGAGAGCGCTGAGTACCGCAGGACAATGATGCGGGGCGCTCCTCCGGCACCGCTCACCTTCGCCGCTTCGCAGCACCGCGACGGCGTTGGCCCCCCTCGCCGTCGCCAGGGATTCTCGGAACGGGCCTCGCGGCGGCAGCCCCGCAGCAAGGCCGCACTCCCTCGAGCTGTGCCTGTACAAAGTCAGACAGTCAAACACCGCCGGCGAACATGCCCCAGTCGAGTCAGGGCGACGCGACGAGTCTCCCCGCGGGTCAGTCCGCCGCACCTATGCGAGCTCGCCGCGGTGCAAGAGGACGGCGCAACTAGGCCAGCGACGGTCAAACGCAAGTTGCTCACAAGCGGACAGCGCGCAGGCCGAAGACGCGCCGCGTGCGTTACGGAGCTGCGCTGAGCCTCACCGTGCCAACGCGGAGCTGCCTCCGTCATTGCGAGGCCGCCTGCACCGGCGTCTCAAGGGGTCGACGTCAGGAGTGGGAAGTCGTCAGGGTGGGGCGAGGGAGACGGTCGGGAGCAGGGCTGCCAGCGCTTGAAGCGGGGGGCGACTTTATACGCCAGAGCGGCGGAGCCGCCGGTGGCGGGTTAACCGGGTCATCGGACGTGGCAGTCCGGGGTCAATTGGGAAGTGAATGGGGCGGCGCTCAAAGTACGCGCCGCCGGTCAACGAGCTCGTGCGGCACGCGCCAGGCACGTGCCCTTGTTGCGGTCAAGGCAGCTCGAACCACCGCTTGCGAACGGCGGTCAGTCCTAAGTATCCCTGCACTCGGTGCATCATTAGGAAAGTGTCAGCGTTGACGATTCATGAGTTGGAGATTGTGTGTGCAGCTCAAGTGCGGTATACTACAGTTGAATCGCAGCTTCGAGTTCCGACGATTGACAATTGTCTCCGATGACGCCAGGGGCTCGCCCATTGCATCGGCATTCACTTGAGAAGGTTTAATATATACTGAATTCTATTGCAGTGGACCATACAGCTCATGCAGTTGGGAGCTGGTAAATGGGGTGTTCAAAATGGTGGATTTAACGAGAACGGGCATAAAATTTTCATTACCTACAATAGCTGCCAGTTGCGTTCGCCTCAACGCTTCGTATATAAAGCACCCGTGGCGGCCCAATAAGAAAACACTACCAATTGGTTGTGTTATTGGGGGTGATAATAATAACCCCTTTACTATTTATAATAATAATCCCTTTTCCAGTTTTTTGCAAAAAAACTGGTCTGAGACATCGGTGCAGTACTGCCTGTTACTAGTAGCAGGTCCATGATGCAGAAACCTTGTCAATACACCCGCTGCTAGCTCCCCAGTGATCCCATCTATCGTAACCAGACTTGTCCGATGCCAGCAACTGTTCTCCAGAGAGAACAGCCCTTACTCAGGAAAAGGTAGAAATGGGAAACAGCCTTTTCGTGTGTATCAAGAAGAACAGCGCACCGCGTCGCGGATGTAGGGGTTGGATGCCTACCTGGCATGAGAAAAGCAGCGCCCATACATTTCTCGCTGGCCAGCCCAAAGTACTGCCACAATTGAATCCAGAAGCCATCAATTCCAATCCCCTGAGAGAGGTGGTCATGGTACATGTGCCGCTTTTCATGTGTCGCTCGCACTGAACGGCGACCGTAGGTGTCGCGGCCATGGATGGCTATTGTGGGCGTGTTTGTTGTATCAAATGACTGGCTTGAAAGCTCAGCGTGCGCCATTTCCATGCTGTCTATCCTCTTGGCAACCAAGGCACAACATTGACACACTCTCCCCCGGGTGCGTGAATGTCACAAACTGACTTGACGGTACATTTCCGCACTTCTCACAAATGTCCAGATTCAAACCCGCGGCCCACGCACTGTCGAGATAACGGCAACACTCTTTGCGACGTAAAATCCGTGTCCCAGACGCTGTCTCAGGCATCTCAACTTGAAAACAGGGAATCGGAAAACCGTATTGCTGCGATTAGGAAGGCATTGAATCGCCGACAGATGGCAGCATTGCACATCCGAATATGGCGGCCACAGGCGCTGAAATGCGCGTTGCGAGGCCAGCCAGCCCCTCAGACACGCTCGCCTTCGGTGCTCCCAATATGCGGCATGCAAATAATCCACTGTCAGCTGCGAGCAAACCGCCACAGACGTTCAATGGGCCGCGCCTCTTGCAGTCACGTGATCATGGGCATGAACCAACTCCAGTGTCAAGAGGTGTTCCGGACCCTTCGAGCAGTACCACCGTCTGCGTATTGTAGGATCTCAGGTGCCTCAGTGTGCGCCAACTCTGGGAACACGTTCGCTTGGTGTTGCCCAAACTAGTGCGAAAAGATTCGCCAAGATTCAACAAGGCGGAATGCTTTCCCAGACTGGGCATTCAGGCTAGATAGGTGAACCCAGTGGAAGGCTTAGCATGTGTCATGGTCGGCAAAGCCGCAAGCAATTTGTAGTGGCATGGGATTCCCTGCACCACCGTCAGGCACCACGAATGAGTTCCCAAGCACTGTGATACAGTGCACCGACAAATCCGAATGAGAACGTGCTATCACGTACTTCCAGTAGCATTCTACGTACGGCAAACACCGCATGGAAAGCCTGGTCGACATTGCCGCTGGAGGCTCAGCATCAACAGCGGATTGCCGCCGACGTTTTCTAGCCGTACTGACATTCACAGCATCGGTCTGAGTTCTCCCTGGTTATGGTCAAAGACTGGCTTCCTGTACAGAATGCATGCAAGCAGCAACACCACACATCGACACCCCACCTGCGCCTTTCCGTCGTCCGTTTGCTGAACACCCCATTGTGCGGAATGATTCATAGAGAACCGATGATCGCTTGCTGCCTGCTGGTTTGGCGGACCGCACAGGAACAATGCAATGGCAGGCATTCAGCATGTGCCGCTGATAATTCCCATCCATGAAATTTTGGACAACGCGCACCCGTCGAAGTCCTTCTGCCTCATTGCCTGAGCAATACGGAGACCTTGCCAAAGGGGAGCCAAGCGAACAACCGCAGGTCCATTGGCCCCATGCCCTGGCTTCCAAATCTGCGGAGTGTTGTCACGGTGTCCGGACATGGTCATTGGGGGCGCTTCCGTGGGTGGTCAGTCCGCCGCAAGATGTCGCACTCAAGTGCGCCATCCGTAACAGTAAACTTTGCTGTCCAATCTGAGGGTGGCACCTGAGCAGGCAACGATCGCCAGCAGTAAGGGAAGCAAATGGTGCCGTGACGAATGACCCATCATTGTGCTGACCGTTTAATGGTCTGTCCAGGCAATTGAATCACGACCAGTCCTAACTCCAAAGTGGCCAAAATTGTTCGATTGCAACAAACGAAGCCACAGAGATATTGTGGTGAGAGGCTGACGAGCTGGCAAGCCTCTATGTGGCCCATTACACAAAGCCCCCTCTGCTTTGTGGCATCAAATTTGTATCTGTAGCCATGAAACCTGCTGGAGATAGATGAATGAAAACATCCGAGTGCGTACGTGCATCATCTGCACATGCTCCACAGCTTCCAAGCAAGCATGCCCACTTAAACAGACCCACACGTATGAGCGAAGTTATGATAAACACGGAGTGAGCTATGCACAAATGGTGGCAATCATTGCAACCTGCTACTCTGCAATGCCAGCTTTGTGCATCACGAAGTCGAAAAAGATATAGAGCATACTGCAGCTGCCGTGTTGGACTATCCCGGGAGCTTGTAAGGTCCATCATTATCAGAAATTCGAAACGTGGCAGTCTCAAGTTCACTTAGTTTGAAATCCCAAACTTAGGTATTGGCATAGATATACCCAATACACGAGAAGCCTTCCTATACAAATCGCTGGTGATCATGGATACCTGCCATTGCGCTGCAAAATCAGATCCTGTCACTCGATCTTTGGGTGTGGGTGTGTCCTCTTTTGTATCTTCCAGTTGGGTGCATGGAACAACTACAAGACGATGCGTCAGGAGTTTCTACAAAACACAGAAACGCGCATTTTCGTTGATGACGTTGTCATCGACGTTACAATGGACTTTTCATAACAAAGGTGCAATTCGTTGAAACACACTGCGAACACATGCCGAAACATCTGCCATAGGAAGCCATTCTGACATCAGCAGTCGCCTTCCAATTGGGGCAATAACTGACTTCGTGAATTTTCGAATGCCATTTGCTGACTCGATAATGAATGCACAGTTGGCAAGACATAGGACTGCACTGACAACGACACCCTCAAAACACAATTCCGTGGGTATTGTGGTGTCAGGGCAGTACAAGCATGGGCAGTTGGAATCTTGCAGACGTTTCACATCTACACAAAAAGCCTTTGGCTATGTGAATGCAGTCAACATGCATATACCTGTTCTGAACAATTGGAATGCGCCAAAAGGATATAAAATGCTTAACTTGCAGAAGTGGCGCAGAGGCCAGCAAGTACTTTGCAGCTATCCGCTTGCTCCTGTTCATCATGCAGGCCACAGCATGTCCGAGTGTCTCTAAGACGGCTGTACACTTGCCAAACATAATGCAACAATCTGCAACTAGGCTTTGCTACCAGCAAATGGATGTTAGAATAGGAACATTATGCTCTGCTGTGTCACGAAAACTCTAGCTCAGGCAGTCAACTGAGATTCAGAGTACTCAAACAGGATAAAACAAGAGGGAACCTTTGCACACATCAAATTGTGCATACTTTAACACATGTTAAATGTGTTTAGGACATGTTCATATCACATGTTCATACCACATGATCAGAACATTGACATATAATTGAAACTAACAATGGGTACAAGGTATGAATAATGAGCGTGATGGTGGTGAGCGACATCACAGAACTCCTATTTGGGTGCCGCACCTCCAGCTGTGGAATGAGCATATCTCGGTATGTCCACCTGGGGATTTGATTTTGATTGCAGTTGTCTGGCTGTTGGACAGTCACGTTCACACACTTGCTCATGACCACGATCAACTGAAACTGGCTTGATATCATCTTCAGTCCATCTGCAACGCTACTTTGGACACGCTGCATTGTGAGAGGTACCACAGGGTCCAGCGAGGCACCCTTCGATTCAGTGCCAATGCTGTGTTGTGCCTTGCAAGCAACTGAGTGGTGGGCTCGGTCCAGCCAATAGAATGCGGCGATGTTATCCACAAGCAGGATCTTTGCCTTGCCATAAGCCTGGCAAGCACAAGAAAAACAATCAAGCACATTAGCAGAATGTAACCTGCCATACCTGCCCTGTGCATCTATGATTGCATGCAGTTGTCTTGATGTGTGCATCTGTGAATCGCTATTGGCAACTATTTGAGGCAAATTGCCAATGTCCTGCCACTTGGCAAATATCCCACAGTGGTTCATTGCGGGATTTGTTCAAAAGAGGCCCATTGTGTGTACCGCTCCTATTGGGAATTGCCAATTGCAATGATTCACCTAAATGCAATTGCACAAAAGACACGTGTCCTCCAACCAGGCTGATCAATTGTCTCCCAAGGTTGATATTGTGGCTGAGTACACCACATAGTTGAAATGCATGAAAAAACACCCAACCCTTTTACCTCAAGCCTTGACAACACCCTGGGCAGCACCTTCAAAGCCGCCAAGAAGTCATAACTGCTGTGACAGCGAATCTGTGACCAGCAACAGAAAAGCTCACACGCTGAATTGCTGCCCACATACGCAGTGACAACTGAATGCCACAATCCAGGCACAACTGCGAAGCACCCTCAAGACACCAGAGCACACATGCAAACCTGAGACCACAAAAGAGATAAGGACAATGTGTAAGTGCATTTGCCAGCATGTCAACATCTATGAAGTTGGCTGTTGACTGATATCATTTTCTCCATGCATCTGAAAAAACAATTTGCCTGGCCACCAGGGACATACCAAGTGAAACTTTGCAAGGCAATATTCATGGAGAGAAGTCGGGACTGCATCGCTACCTGCAAAGACAAAATAACAAGGTCAGGCTGTGCACAAATGTGCATCCAAGAAGGCACCACGGACAGGGCATAGTGTTGATGCTTGTAGTTGGCACATAAGGGATCTCTTTGGTTTGATACTCAAGAATGTGTTTAACCAACAGGCAACCAACTGCTTTACACCAGAGAGTGCCTGATGAAGCTCAGAGCACTCGGCTGATGCTCAACCTTCCAACGCACCTTGTTGATGAGTTCCCAATGCCACAGCCAGCCGTCTGTCAAGCACCTGGCAAATTGTGCAATTCAGTCACATGAGCATCTCAAAGTCCACATGGACAGTCAACGAAACAAAAGCAGGTGCACTTTTCGGTTTCATTTCCAACTTTCCACTTTGTTGAAAACCAGAGCTCTTTCCCAACATACATGGGCAATTAGGCCAGTCAATTTGTGTAAAAACACAACATTCGTGCACTGGATGACCAGGCGACCAACACCTGGGTCAACTATCACGATTCGAGAATGAGGAATTTTGCAGTGCAAACTGCACAGGCAGAGATCACCTGAACAAGCCTCATGGCATCGAAGCGTCCATCGAGGTCCATGAAAACTGCCACACCTGTCATTAACACTCTGTGAGCAAGACCCAACAGGCAATAACCAACTGCTCTCAATGCATCGCATGAAAATTCTGCTGTACCTTCTTGCCCGCCAAAAGAAATGCCATTGAAGGTCTTCGGAAGGATGCAACTGACCGCCATCTATCACAACGAGCAAAACCACCTTTATGCGGAAAAAAATTCAGCCAGGAACACCTGGGCCCGTCAGTGATAAATGCACAGTGCCAAATTCCATCGTAATCAAGACTTGTAATGGTTGCACAGTTCCACTTCCTGGCAGTTTTTGTACACCAGATTATGACGGCACATTTAAGAGTCCAATGTAATCTCGATACCTTGCACAATGGGAAGCACACTGGCAAGGTAACAGAGATTCAGAGGAAGAACAAAATGCTATTCATTGACTGCAATTTCAGCTGCATGTCGACCAGGCGTACTCCCACGCGTACTCCGACGGCCATTCACTCTTCGCCAGTTTAGATTGACATCCCTGGCCCCACCCAGCCTGAGTTTAAAGGCTGCAAATTCACACAAGGACATACATGCACGTGACTGAGACGGCACATATTCTGGTGATCTTGCACGAGCTTACGACATAACAGGAAGGAGAAACATGCCGGCAAGGAATCCCCCCTTTACTTGTGGTGCGTACAGGTGGCCCGATGCGCAAAAACGATAACCGCACTCCGCCAGAGCTCCGGCACGCGACCGGCACACCGCCGCCCACCTGCAGCAGCAGCTCCGTCTTCCCGCTGCCCGGCGGGCCCGCGATCTCCACCACGCTGCCAGGCCGCAGGGGCACGTGCCGATCGACGAAAGGCACGCCGGAGAAAAACGGATCTACGCACGTCCGCCTCAGGAGCTGCGCCGCCGTCTCGTCCGCGGCAACGAAATCCACCAAGCTCCCGTGGGCGGCCATGGCCGGCGGCCGCGGCAGCGGGCGCCTGAGGCGGGGCTCCCAGCCCGGGCAACCCGCTGGCCGGCTTGGCGCCAACTGTGCACACGGAGAATGGCGCAGAGCGTGAGTTTTGTGGCTAAACAGGCGCGTCAAACGGCTCATTTGACGGGGTGGTGTGTGACGTCGACTCGGTTTGCGCTGTGACGCGGACAGTGAAGCTGTCGTCAGGGAAGGGGACCGACCCGGGTACGGACAATGCATGTCCCGCAGTTCTGCCGGTGCTGGGTAGTATCGATTACAGGGCTGATATTTGGCTTCCTTTTATGGTATATTTTATGGTTTATGGTTTATATACCTTTTACTAGTTTCCTTTTCTTCCTATCTCCCTTTGCAACACTTGCAAAGCTCATTTTTTTGGCAAAGCTGCCTCGAAGTACCTCCTTGCATTCCTTCTGAGGTTGTTTTAGCGGAGATGGGTGCTCTTCCTCTAGACTTTCATTTCCGGAGTCAGATTTTTTGCTTTTGGAATCATTGTCATCTGCTGCCTTCGGGACATCCGACTTCCAGAGCTTTCTTGGCCTCGTGTGCCTTGGTGGTCACTCAACCGTCCTTCGTTTCTGGTCAGAATTGGCGCTCTTGCGTTCTTTCCTACCTCAAGACTTCTTCTCTTTTATTGGAGCTACTACCCTTTTCGACACCAGCAATTGACATTTCTACTAAGACTTTCTATTTTCGAGCCCATCAATGGATCAATCTTTGTTTTTCTTTTATCTCCTGAGTCTCCCATTCTATGTTCTCATTAGTTCCGGACTTGTTCGCTTTCGGGTGCATTCTAGTTTTTGGGATATTGAAAGGCTGCACTTTTTCCCTCGATTTTGGCATTGGGGTCACTTCTTGGAGGTGGACTTGGGTCACCATTCACAAGTTCATTCTCGGATTCTTGTTGCCTCTTTTGTGGCCCTTCAATCAATGAGATTGAGGCTCACTTCATGTTTGACTGCCTGTTGTACGCTTCTTCGCGCTTAGACTTCATTCTCTCTTTGTTCATAGTACTTTGCTCTCTTTCTTCTCTTATCCACATCATCGTTGTGTGGCCTCTTTTCTTTAGAGAATTTTCCATTGTCGTCAAACTATAGTATGGTTCTGTTGGATTGCTTCTCTTTGTGGTACTGTCGTGCGTTTGGTGCTGTGGCTCTTTTCTTTGCACTTAGGGAACTTCTTGATTTCCTTTCTCTCGATCATTATTTCGTGTTCTATGTACCTTTGTTGGCTGGCTGCTGCCAGCATTGTTTCGTTATGGGACATTTCGGCTTTGCTACACTGGACTCCTGGGTGGTTCAGAAAGGAAGCAGCGACTTCCTAGGACCCGTTCCACCCTCTGTAACACTCACTCAGCCGCAGTTCTGCGGAACAATGGGGCCTGGGAAAAGGGCAGATGGCGGTCCAATCCCATGAGAGTCCCATCGCGCCGAGCTGTTAGTCGACCACCGGCGCTGCGCCGCCGGTCGCGGTTTCAACAGACGGCTCTCCCTCGCGGAGGAGCGCGCGTTGAGCGATGCTTTGCGGAGCTGCGCCGCAGATGCGGGTCCGGTTGTTTGCGGTGGCCAGGTCGCTGTGCCATCCGGTGCAGGGGCGGGCACAGGGACTGACGATTCCCGTGGACGCACGGGGTCACGGCACACAGGAGGGAGGATCCTCGGGTGGCGCGCCGGAGGCCATGGGGCCGCTTGTGGGCGTCAAGGTCAGCGTTGCGTGTGGCCATCAGGCTCACTATGGGTAATTCTCGACATCGTGGATGTGCATTGGGGATGGCGAGACGTGGTGAGGGATGAATACAACCCCACTGCGTCCCTTTTGCTGTTGGTCTTGGATTCCTTGTTTGCTACGTCTGCGGGGGAGACATGTGCTCACTTTGAGGGCTGCAATTAGCGATTGGAGTCGTGTCAAGACGATGGGAGTGTTTCTTGAGGATTTCATGACGGCAAAGCTAAGCAGGCGCCAAACTGTGCGAATGGCTGGGTATTGAATCTGGTGCTCGAAATGAGCACGATCTCTCGGGCATGACGATTGATTTTGAGCCATTTGGTGGATTCACAGGTTCTTGACTTGGGGCAAGTTGTGGCTGGTAACTTCTGTGGTGCTCTGCTGGCCTACTTTGGAGCCGATGTCATAAAGGTTAGTTCAAGGGCAAAGCACATGTGCGCATGGCTTATGCGATTTGAGCTGCATTCATGAATATCAACATTCCATTCAGCATCTCTTGGCCTGTGTCCCACAACCAATTATTTGTTCCGTCCTTCAAAAAACAACGGAGGGGTTCTTCACCGCTGGCAACTGAACCAGTATGCATGAATTTCTGCACCAGCGTTCTGATGGTTTTGGCTGTGCTGAAGAGTGAACATAAGGCAAGCAGTGACACACCAGCTGCTTGTAGTGTTTGAGACATACTCTCCATTATTGGGCCCACCTTATCACAATGCGCTTTTGTGACTTGAGACTGCAAATACAGTCATCCTCCCATAGCCAGTGAGTTTTTCCATTCCATATTCCCAAATGTGCCTTTGCCAACTCTGCTGCCACTCCCACACTGCTGGAACAGATTGATTCCTGCGGATGCCTTACCACTGCCAAGGCCTGCGATGCAAGTGCCATTCCTGGCTAGCATTGGGTATATTTATTTTTGCCACCTGTGCATGTAATTGCTGAGTGTGCAGTGACAATTTAGGAGGGCGATTGGTTCTAGATCAGGGCAAGGGACAGGTAATTGCCACATCAAAGTGCCAACCAGCCTTTGTCACCTGAAGTGGTGCCATGTGAACGAGGGCCTCAATGTTTGCTGTTGACAGCAGTCAGGCTTGAAACCAATCACATGAAGGTGATTGGCACTTAATTTCAGTGTTCAAGACATTTGTTGTCTCTCTGAATACTGTCAGGCTTGGTGTTTGCCAGGTGGAACCACCTCGCGGGGATGCCTTGCGGACTCTTCGAAGACTCGATGCAACTGGGACGTCACTGTGGTGGAGAGGTTATGTAAGCGACAGGGATCCTTGGGATGTTTGTGTCCTTATCAATACACCATGTGTGCATTTTGCACTCGATCAGCCTCATTGCAGGATGTGAATGTGCGCCTCTGCTTGCCGCATGGCATCAAGAGATGCTTGATTACTTCAGGTCGATGTAAGCTCAATAACGCAAGTGCTCTATGCAAATCTCCAGTTAAATGTGAGAAGAATGTGTGCTGCAAACCCTCCTGGTGAATTAGTATCCAACCAGACTATGTTGTGCTTTCAATTAAGCAACGTGATGTGAACAATACTCAGTCCTGTGTTGCTCATAGCTGCATATTTTTTGCGGACATGGAGACAGACGTTCGGCCTTTTGGACAGGGGCGCAACCGTCGATGCATAACGATTGATCTTCACAAGGAGGAGGGGAGGGCCATTGTAAAGAGGTGAGCGAAGTGCTCATTCACTTACTGGCGTTAATGGAATTACTACTGAGGTGTTCAGACGTAATTGTGAAATGCCTTGCCCAGATGTTTGCTGTGGTCAGGTTGTCTGAACGGGTGGACGTCCTTGTGGAGAATTTTCGGCCTGGCGTGATGGAAAGATGGGGTCTTGGACCTTCCGACCTAAAGCCTGACCTCATCTACACACGCATCTCAGGGTACGGTCAGGTGGGACAGTAGACACCCCTGTTGTTGGACGTTGTTTTGCTCTTGGGCGATGATGGGTTGAACTGTTCAAATGTCTTGAGACTGTTCGTATGGAATCTGCAGAGGAATATTGGACTTCCCCCTCGTGGGGAAGGATTATCAGCCTGTTTCGCATTTCGTAGCATGAACTGCAAGTCTACATGCTTGTTTGAAGCCATCCCTACGGACCTGTTCATTCACGTAACGTGGGGAATCCACGTAAGTATGGCATCTGGGATTTTCTGATCGATGGTGAATCTTCTTCATGCACAGTATCCAAAGTGCTTTACAGTGTGCTGGCAAGACTTGGCACACTTGGTCTGATGGTTAAGATTGCATAATCTGGTCCTGTTTTGCACTTTACAATATTAGAATGCACGATTTGGGCCGTTTTGTTCCTGGTGCTGTTGTGACTAGAACTGATTGAGTATTATTACAAGTATTACGGAATGCATGAAAAGATGATGAAGCACTAGGAATTGCATTAAGGAAATTGATGAACGGACTGAATATAAAGGACAGAACGCCTGTTGTCCTTTTGCCTCGGCTGTAAACCGTTGCCGTGGACTCGAGCGTACGATTCCCGTTCAGGGATCGCCACCCCACGATCCTGCCTGCCTTCGACAGTGCTACACGCTGCCGGCTGTGCCTGCTTGCCTGCATGGAAGGTTGTGCCTGTGAGGTGTGTTGGCACGCCATCGCTCAATGTTTTGCCAAGCATACCCACAGTTTTGGACTGTATATAAACATGGTTGCGTCGGAAATGGCAATGTTCTGCTTTATTGCGATGAAAGCCCAGCTCCGTTGATGCAGTTGGGAGTGTTTGTGCTGAACAGACGGGCCCAAAGGCTACAATGCCAGGGTACGCCAGTGTGTGTGAAGCTTATGGGGGCTTCCGCCATCTGAATGGGTACAAAGATCGCCCCCCAGTGCGTCCGAATTTCTCATACGGAGATTCGTTGGCAGGATTGCACGCTGCTTTTGGCACTGTCATGGCGTTGCTGCATGAACAAAGGAACGGCGGAAAATCGGCTGGGCAGGTGGGAAAATGAGGTGCTCGTCCAACTGGCAGCTTCTGTCGTACAAATTGCATTGTGTATATATTAGGACAGCAACGGCTGTCCTTTGTTCAGTTCATTATCTCCCAGCACCATAGGCCTTAAAAGTCAGGATGGTCACAGCGTGGTATATGAATAAAGTGTCCAGTTTGAACGTGACGGTTCATTTGACTCCCCGCAGCCTCGACCCATTTGAATTTCAAGTCATGCGGCCGCCATGCTGATGCACATGCACTTACGTTTGTCGCCTTTTGCCTTCAGCCAACGGCTTTTTGATTGTAGGTTGTTGATGCGTCGATCAGCGAGTCCGTTTTCAATATGTTGGAAGGATGTGTCTCGGAGTACGCGATGCATGGATACGATCGCCCACCTTCAGGCTCAACAATTTCTGGTAGGGAAATCCTCAATGTACCTGGCGCACCTTGCATCAGTGCTACTGTGAAATGTGACGCAGTCATTTCTTGGGATCCAAGCATGAAGGAGCTCCACACGAGCCAGTCAGAGCCTTCTTCTCTCTTGTGCCGCATTCGCCCTTCCCCTTCTTGGGACATGGGTTACTCCCTAGCGGGACTTCGCGCCATATTAGCAGATGACACAGTGGGATTGTTATCTAGCGATCCAGGACGTGTGCTTTCGACGCCATTGGTTTGGCAATTTGCCTTCATCATGGCCATTTTTGCAAGGGCTTTCGCTTGAACAGGGCGGCAAAGTGCATAGCCGGAACTCGGAAACACTATGCATGTGCCACATCGCACCCCGCCCCACCTGCCCATGGGATTCGTTACTCAATTTCGTACCAGTCCATTTACAGCAATGACCCCAGGCGAGTGCCGTCCGTGATCAGCTACTGGCTCTCTGGAATAGGGCAACACGCATGCCGTGTCTGCACACCCGACTATGGATTCGTCCGCCTGTACCCTTGATTTCATGATGACCTGCTCACTCTCTGATGAACACTTGCTCCCAGATGTTGTGCCGTCGGGGACTTTCAGAACCCTCGACGACCACTATGTCGTGATTGGGGGAAACGGCAACTCGGTGTACTCACGGCTGATGGCGGCAATCGGGCGAGCGGACATGACCACGGAGAACCCCAAATATGCGACGGACGCCAAGAGGTGTGAGAGAGAACAAGAAATAATGATGGAAATCGAAAAGTTTGTGGGAAGCAACTCGTTAGGTGAGCAGCCTCCCGCGGAAGGTTCCTGCACAACTGGACGTATGGGACATTCGGTATGGCTTGTTCGTTGCGCGTTGCGGACTGCTGCGCCTGGGGGGTAGCGTTGTGGCATCACCAGCAGCGAATGCAGTGCAATGAGCTTTGAATGCGTTGGCACAAGACATAACGCTCCGTCGAGCGCTGTTTGCTGTTCATTGCAGGCTTCCGTGCAGGTTCTGTATGAACAATATCAGGTGTCTGCCGTCGCATCAATCGAGTGCGTGCCAATTCCCATTGCGCCAACAACACCAAGGTGTCCGCTTTCATCAGAAGAAATGCCTCCATGGAATGAGCTTGACTCCTCCTTTTCTGCTTCCCATGGTGCGCAGAAGTTGTGCTTCGCGCCATGCAAGACGCTCGCGTGCCTGCGGGCCCAATTCTGAGCACTCGGGAGATCATGCAGGAGGAGCAGTACATTGCGCGAGGAATGTTTCACGAGGCCGCCCCTCCGTCAGGGGGTCCCAAAGTGACGATCCCGGCGATGCTACCCATACTTTCTAAGACTCCGGGATCCACAAGGTGCGGAGTGCGTGCTTCGTGTGCAACTGTCAAGTTTCTGGTAATCGAGATCCATTCTGCACTGATCTTTCACTCGCCAGGTTTGAACACAAGGCGACATGTGCGCTCTTGTCACAAATCCTTGGGCCATGGGAATCCACCCTGACGATTTCCAAAAAGCCTGCACTGTGGGTGGACCTGCACACACGATGCGGTCGGTCATTTGTCGGCTGAGCGGTGCTTGCATTGTTGTCCACAGATGGGCAGGGCCAGAACTGGGGGAGCACACGTCAGACGTGCTGAAGACTGAAATCGGCCTCACGGAGAAAGAACTGGCCCAGCTGCGGGAGCAAGTCGTCATTTGACTTGACTCTCGCAAATTCTGACATAGAGCAGCTTTTCCTTCCGCACGTTCGCTTGCCTCATGACTACCATTGACGTCGCCGACGACTGCGTCATGCATCTTGCCCTAACGGGCAGCCTGGCAGGAGCCGCTTTCGGTTCTTGAAGGACATGCACAATGAGAGAACAGGACCAGCAATAAGTATCTGCCCTGAAAACGCGGTGCAACTCGGGGCAACTTACGCTTGATGGAATGTGGGCTCGCTCAGTACATTTGTTTCACTATGGTTCGCAGCGTTCCACACCACACTATGAAGCTTTCTCGGCCATTTCATTGCTCAACAAGTAGGCTTTGGGAACAAATGCGTTATGAGGGGCGATCCCTGCCCTGGTTGATCAATTGCTGCAGAAATTCTCAATCAGAGTCTTTAGCTACCACCTCTAGTAGCGCCATTGGCTTAACAGTTTCCGCTGCACTCCACAACAACAAGTGCCATTGCTGGGCATCCCATACAAAGGCAATCCTTCAGTGCACTAAGCACACAGCTCATTTTGTTTGTGCTGATTCTATCCTGCTATGAAAAAAGGCGCAATAGCAACACGAATATGACTCAGAAACCTGGCATGGCTGTACGATCACATCACCAAGGCGATCATCTCTGCCACCACTACAAGGACTCCCCTCCCTTCATTAGAGAGCTTCTTCCTGCAGACCTGTGTGTCGCTATTGGCATCCGCTTTCTAATGTCTGCAACATATTTGCTATCTATCTCTGCAACGGCGATCCCAGTCTCTTTGTCATCCATCCGCGCCAGCACCTTCCCCCAGGGGTCGATGACGCACGAGTGGCCCCAACTCTGCCGATTCGCATGGTTTTGTCCAGCTTGGGCAGCAGCGATGACGTAGCACTGACATTCAATTGCACGGGAGCGCAGCAGCAGCTCGAAATGGGCGCTGCCGGTTGGTTTGGTGAAAGCAGAGGGTATCTACAAAGTGAGCACGTTGAGGCCGAATCATGCGCCTATTCAATGGCATAATTCAACCTGCTACAGTGGACAACCAGCAGAGGCAACTTGCCGTTCAAGGCACAAACAGCTCTTGTAACAACCTTCACTGCAGGTGCCTGGGCGTGGTTTTTCATTGTCAAGGAACGCAAGCAAGGGAATGAATTGATTGGGATGCAGCAGGAATGGACTCAAGATGAGAGATCCACAACTTGCTGGCAGCTTGGGATCACATGTCAACCTTCTGCAGTGACTTCTCTTCAGATTGAACTGTTTGACTTCTACCCACAGCATTCCAATAGGTGCAGATCACGTTTTTTTGCCGATCTTAGCCAATCAAACTTCAATTTCCGATGATTTCCATGTGCACCTACCAGCAGTACATCGGCACCTCCCCTGAAACGGAGCTCCTGATAGAGTTGTGGAAATCTCAAGTCATAGCAAACAGAGAGACCCAGCTTCCCTACTGGGCTTTCGCACACTGTGGTACTACAACCAGGAGATGTGAAACTGCTCTCCTTCCACACTTGGCCTCCAGGCACCTCAACATCACACAAGTGGATTTTTCGGTAGGTGGCGGCAGTTTCCCCATTGGCTTTGATGATGATGTGACAATTGTGGATGTGGTCAGCATCTGGACCTGCTTCCTGTGAACAAGCCATTTGCAATTACTGGCAGGTGGACTGGTTGTTGCCCAACACACCTTGAAATCATAGTTCCATTGCGCCGTTGGCCTGCAGTCTCATGGTGTTTTTGTGTCGCGCAAGGCACTGAAGCTGAATATGGGGCACAAAACGCCACAAAGCCTCCAGCGGCTGCTCAAATGGCAATTACGTCCAGCATTCATGCCCCACCTGAAATCCCCCCAGTGACAGCCAGAGGCCATTGTCCCTGGCCAGCTGCTTGTACCTTGACATGAGAGGCCCATTAAGGGGTTGAGCCACAGTAGCCGGAGATTGCATGGATGAGTCCCCCATAAACGCGAAGCACTCGGGCAGACACAGCATTCTGCATCCTGCCTCGGAAGCCTGAGCCGCCAGCTGACTGCACACGCCAAGATTGTGCTCCTGGTCGTGCGTGGACGTCATTTGACCCACCGCCACAAGTGCGCGGCAACCAGGCTTGGGAACCGCAGTGTCCTAGAACATGTCGGGGGCTGATCGTCAGGTGACACAATCGATTTCGACTTGAACGAAACACTTTGTCAGTTCAGAGCTTGCTGGCCTTCACCTCCATTGTCCCTTCTTGCAAAGGCGTCCCAGGCGGCTGTTCCTTCCCGGAGGAGCCCAAGATGGCTGCTATCGCAGGCCTTTGCGCACGTTGCGGAGGGCGACCTGTGGGTTTCACGTGCGGAAGGGTGTAAAAGGACTGCACTATCCGAACGGAATGCCCACAAAGCTTGCGCGACCCACAGCCTGTGTCCATTGCAATGTACCCAGGCGAGGTGTGGGCATTGATGCCATCGAACAACTTGGAAGCGGTCGCCAAACTGGAGGTCTGTTTCGGTGACCAAGTTGGGCTGAATTGCTAATGCTTGTGGCCCTAAGGAACTGGTGTGGGAGACTGGTATGCAACATTTGTGTGCGGCTGCTCTCCGCATCCCGCGGTTTGTCCGGGTGCAGTGGCTCTGGAAGGGCTGCCTCGTCCGTGTGCGGCCACGCTGCTGCCTGCAGGATGTGCTGACGCTCCTTCGAAGGTCCTCCTGACAGTGGTGCCCCAGTGAAAGAAGCGAGAGGGGTCGCCAGCAATGGCTATGTTGGGTGCATTGAAACGACTGTCTTGGGAACTTCATGGTGGGCGAACGATGAACACACTGCCAGCGTTGTTTGAAGGCAATCGATGGAGTCCAGTGAGACAATCCACTTGTAACTGCTGCAGGAAACCTTGCCCTTTCGTCGCCGGCAGGGCACCCACGTTGCCATCCAGCCCTTTTTTGTGTGACTAACTGTTGTGGATGCTCAAGTGCTCAATTGCGAGGACCTGGTGCTGGACGAGTGCCAACGAATCGGGGCTAAAATTAGTCCGCACTTGCAGAATTGGACCTGGGACACGAGGTAGAGCGGATACAAGGGCCCCCCACACCGGCAAACTTCCTTCGTGAATACGTGTCTGCCAACAAGCCTTGCATTTTCACAGGTGGGCACCTTACGAGATGGATACCACCCAGCATCAGAAGGCAGGGTCTCTGCCAGGCTGTTCGTGTTTTTTATTGTCTTCCAGAGCTATAGCAATTGTGGAAAAACTGTACCGCATTTAAGAGTCCAGGTGCCGACTCCATTCTGTCCGAAACAGAATTTATGTTTCATGCCACTTCAGAAGAAAGTGCAAGGCGACTCAAAATTTAGGAGGTTGATAAACTATAGCAATTGTGGAAAAACTGTACCGCATTTAAGAGTCCAGGTGCCGATTCCATTCTGTCCGAAACAGAATTTATGTTTCGTGCCACTTCAGAAGAAAGTGCAAGGCGATTCAAAATTTAGGAGGTTGATAATGCTTGATCGGTATGTTGTACTGCAAGGTTGTGTTGAGAGCTGGCATGCGACAAACAAGTGGTCCCGTGACTATCTGCTGGACAAGTGTGGGGACACGGCAGTGACCATTGATGTCACATCGAATGGACGGGGCGATGCGGTGACGATAGCAGGTAATCACCAGACTGGAATCCCACCATCTCCATGCCATTACTGAGGCCAGGATTTGTCGATGTCAACCAGGTCCATCACAGACTTGGTGCCAGAAATATGTTTGCTGCATGGAGCATGTCAATGCGATGGTGCTGATCATCACTTCTGTTTTCCCTTATGGGCATTGGCATGTGCTTCGATATGCATTAATGGATACCAACAAAGACCACTGTGTGGTGCTCGAGAGATGGAAGATGGCAACACACTGGAGTGCTTTGCACAGCCCTGGCAGGAGAAGATGAGTTTTGGTGAGTTTGTTTCTTACCTGGAGTCGAGCCGTGAGTCTACACCGCCCATTGTACCATATCTTCAGGTGTGCAGAAAGCTGTTGGCCAGCTGAAGGACAGCTCAATCTGTGATCTTTGAACTTCGAATGGATACAACATAAGCTTCATCTACGATATGAAGAAAGGGGCTTCCCACAAAGTTCTTGCTGAGAAAGGTACTCACTGTGCAGCTCCTCTCCTTTCAGAAGCACTTGTGTCCTCATTGGTGCCCTAACTCAAGAAATACAGTCTGCGAGACAAAAGGTGCTGATACAGTATCGTTATCTTGTTAAAATTGGGCAGTTGACTTCAAACAGCAAACATGAATTGGCCTTTTTAAATGATTAAGCAGCCGTTTGCATTTGATTGTCTGTTGGTCATGCCACAGAAACAGAACAACAACTTGCTTGAAGAATTTCCCCAACTTCGTGGAGACATTGAGGATGCAGGCCCGCATTGGGCGATGGAAGCATTTGGTGCTCCACCTGATGCTGTGAACTTGTGGGTTGGCGATGAGCGAAGTGTGACATCTTTTCACAAAGGTGCATTCCTTGTTTCTTGTGTTGGGCACTGCCACCTCCAGATGTCCAATCTGTTGTTGGTAGAATGGAGCGGCCCCTTCAAGTAAACAGCATCCTGGCATGAATGGCCGTGATCGATGCCACAACGTAAAGGAGGAATAATTCCCAACTTGTGGGCATATGTTGTGTCCTGCATGCTCTGTTGTTGCCTTGAGTCAGCAGATGGGGTGTGCTATTGCATTTGCATCACACCCCATTCATGGCATCCAAAAGGTTCACAAATTTCAGCCGCCAGTGGGACAAAACAAGCACCGATCAAGATGAGGATGAGATGCAAAGTTGCGAACCTATCAGGATCCCTGCTAGCAAATGTTGGAGAAATAACACTGCCAAAATTCAGTACTATGTGTCCTGGACCCACGAAAGCAACACATCAACCCAGGAGATCGCTGTTATATTCTGTTGCAGACCACTATGAGAACATCTACGTCGTGATTGCTGGCACAAAGACCTTCACACTCCTGCCACCAAGCAGTGTTTACCGCTTGCACCTTGGAACATATCCTGCCGCCTCCTACACGAGGGTCCCAAAAGGGGACCTGGTTGTTCAGCTGGAAGAGCCACCCCGTACTGTTGTGTGGAGCCCTGTGGAGCTACCTTCCAGTGAGCCAGGTACTGTGCTGGAATCTGCATCAGCGCAGACGATACAGCCATATGGTTATCTTGGCTGTCTGTCCTAGTTGTGGATTGTGTGTTGCTGAACGAATTCGCACATTTTGCAATCGTTGCCCGCATTGTGCTGTGGCTGGTGACGTCGAAGCCTGCACTCTCTAAATGGCACTGACTGCCCATGACTGCCAATGTGTCGCAAAATGTCGCATGCCTTCGACCCTGCTGGATCTGGTAGAGCCTCCCAGCAGAGGCATCAAAACCAAGCTGGCGACCGTGCCCCATGGTCGGACCCTATATCAAAGGTTGGCTTGTGTAGCGCGCATCACACAACATTCGACCTTCGTCTGTTGCACCCTGACATTTGCAGGAAGCCCTTCGGCAGCCACTGCTGCCAATCGGTGGCCGCTCTTTTTCGCTGAGGACCTGCCAGGGCCGATGCGCTGCGAAGTGAGGGCTGGGGAAGTGCTGTACCTACCCAGCCTGTGGCACCACCATGTCACGCAGACCGCCAACGATGAGGGATGGGTGGTGGCTGTCAATTTTTGGTGAGTTCAACCCTGAGGAATGACGCGAAATTGGATTCTCCGACAGATTTTGTTGCCTCTAATTGAGTATTTGCGAACACAGAGCACTGTGAGAGATGGCCATGGCAGCTTGTGTAAATGTTGACCTCAGAGGAGTCCTTGCGTGAACGTTGAAATGTTGCTGTTGAGTGAGCACCAATGTTGCTGCCGATGTTGTTACATGTCGTTACAGCTGTTAATGACTGGGCAATTTTGTGTCCGGCAATGCAGGTATGACATGAAATTCGATGCTAAATACGCTTATCTCAAGTTGGTTGAGGATCTTGCGGCACAGGCAGGCTTGGGGCCCTCAACCATGCAAGGATGTTCGGATGGCTGACAGTTTTGTGCTTCAGAAACACACGGACAGCTGTGGCGTTTCGTTTTGGTGCACACCATGAATGGGCAACACGTCTAACTTGGGCGACCATGTATTTTCACGTGCGCCTTGCTGTTGGAGCTGTATTGGCAGTGGTGCGAGTAAATACTGCAACGCACAGCCTGAGGCTCATTGTCCGTTTCCAGCTTTTGACCCAAGGCCATGTGTTCAATTCTTCCTCCATCCTCGTCTTGGCGCGTCATGGCGCATGCTAATGCACGTGATGGGGCCATATTGCAGCAATGATGCAAGGGGTCCGCGTTGTGTTTCAAAGGCAAATACAGACAATGGAATCTAGCATGACCAGTGTTTCTTCCGTTGCCTTGCGACCCACCCAGAGAGCCGCAATTATTGATCGTGTATTCCATGACGCATGTTATATTGTTCCGCGTGTGATGAAATGGACAGACGTTTTCGAAAGGGCATTGTGCGGGGAGTTCTTCCCCTCATTGCACAGAGGTTGCTGGGCAACGACTTCTTTGCATTTCGACAGGTTTCGTCAGAATTTCGAACAATTTAGTTTCATTCGAATTTAATTGATTCAACGTAGCTTAGTGAGTTCGAAACGGAGAACACATTTGTGCTCAATCGGTGTTCGCTGCCTGCACGCGCAACAGTGCCTAATTCTTTGTTTTCATAGCTTCTGGTGGAGATTTGTGGGCTGCTATTTCGCAACAGGTTTATTGTCGCATCCGTTACCACTGCACTACTGGGCGCATTGAAATGGAGTGAATGGAGCCTGAGGTCTGTAGGGGGCATTAGGAATGTAGAATCGGGTGAACAGTGCGTGCCAGAGGGTATCACCCAAAGCTTGAGATCGAGAGTATGCGAATGTGATCCCACAGCGGAAAGTACAACATTGGAATATTCCTACGCCGGATAAGTTCTGCAATAGCACTCAGCGTTTCAGCATGTCTCGCACCAGTTGGTTTGCTGGCCACATTGTGGGCCTGGTTTTCCCATGAAAATTGCATCAAAATCATGGGAAGACTCTCCAAGCGACTCCCACGTGATCATAGCTGTCACCTTTCTTGATGGAGAAATGTTATCCCTGCAGCAATCCCTTCTTGCTCAACCACACCGTCGATTGCCACCGCGATGCTGAGCGCCCGGCGCCCATCTGTCAGATCATTCAAAAACGGCGTCCTGACCCCTTGCAAAGCCCATGCAGTAAAATATTCGACACTTCCAGTAAGGGAAGAAGCTACGTCGATTTTGGTACGCTTAGCATCAACTTGACGCTAAGATCAGACACCCCTTCCCCCCCAGGTTTCCTACGGCATGCACCTCTTCCCCGCCGACGTGCATCCCCTTCTCCCATCACTACCTGCGATGCCTACCTCCGCTCGTGTCCCCATCCTTTTCAGGGGCGCTCCCTGCCTGATGGGCTTCCCCTCTCTCTTCTTCAAAACGTAGAGGCTCGTCGCCCCTGGGCGGTGGACCCCTCTGCCCCTCGCTGGGGCCAGGTCGACGGTTTCTTGCTCAGTTCCTTTGGACAGTTCGGTTAGCTGAGCACGAGTGATGGTCTGATCATGTTTGGTCCATTGGGGTTTTTGGATGCCTGGCTGGGCTTCTTGCATGGTTCGTGGATTTGGGCCTTTGGGCATTTTGTGGGGCCTTGGGATGTGTTGAGTGAATCACTGCATCAGATGCAGGTGGGGAGGAAAAAATGTATGTTGGACTTGTAATGGGGCGTATAGTATCGTCCGGGGTCGCCGGGAGCTTTTTCTTCGGGATGTTGTCGGGTGCTGTTTATCGCGTGGCTGGGTCTTGGGTGTATGGGCAGGTCCTTGGAGGCCTTACATTACACTTGACATTCCGCACATTCTCTACTTTCCATACAGGCCGCCCAAGTGCATGTTTTCTTGCCTATGACTTGCTTGTGTTGTGTGCTCGTCTTTTCTTCGGAGGCTCTATATCAATTTTTCATAGCATGGAAAAGAACCTCTCATACTCTCGCCTAGGCGGGGGTGCCTCTTGTATGACCTGTTTCTCTTTCTCTTTCTCTGTTGTAACAGATCTTACCCCTCCCCCCCGCCCCTCCCTACATAGCGTCAATCCTTACGTCAATGTCAGGATGACTCAAAACCATTACCCAATAGCCTGACTTCACTGTCAATATGTTTTTGAGGAGGCAAATAGCCAGATTTTCAGTGATTGTAGAGGACTGCAACATGGGATTCTAAAGGCCGCTCCAAGCAATTAGGCCAGGACTGGAGGCTCTCAATTGAGACAATATGGGGCCTTCCTTGAAGATAATACGTTTCAGGGAGATTATTATATAATTCCTAGTTCGTTTGCCGCTGATCAGCGGCGTTTGGGGCATGGCGATAGCTTATGTCGTTTTTGTGGCAGTTACATAATCTCTTAGCGTCACAGATCTGGACGCCAAATTGACGCTAAGCATACCAAATTCGACATAGAGCCTTCCTCAACGTAACACTTGGCCTTTCTTGGGGGAGAAAATTTGGTACATAGCAGCGCAACACATGGCCTCTTCTTGTGGAGCAACATAAGATAACAAAAACAACGCTCTGAAAAAAATTGCGGAGCTAAAAAGCGTAACGGTACAATTTTCTGATGCGGAAGGGTTGAATATGAAGGGTCCCCACATCGTTGCGTCACTTCGACGCCACTTTCACGAACCTGGCTCCACCACCGTCCCAGCGGGCCACCCACAGCTCGCCCAGTACATTACTGCATTCCCGGCGCGCCATCCGGTACACATCCGGTGCCTGAACACGGTGCCCATTCCGGCACTTCGCCGCATCCCCATGGATCGTCAGATTGCGCCTCCCACAGCACGTGCCCGCGGCCCCCCGCCGGTCGCGGGACAGGCTGGCAGGCGCTGGAAGCCTCGACGGGGCGAGCGTGCGCCAAAAGGGGCCCTCCCTGCCTGAGAGGCTGCCATAAAGTCCTGCCGGCCACCGCCACGGGCCAGGAATAAGTCTTGGGACGAGCCAGAATAAGGGCGGCCGCGCGCACAGGCGCCCCCTACGTCCCGCAGGTGGGTGGCGGCGAAGTTGAGGATCGGGGCTCGAAATTTGAACACGGGGCCGGGAACGCGCTCCATAGCCCCCTGGGATCTCGGCGGTCGGTGTTGCCCTTGGTCGACCCGCCGCTGGCCGCTGGCGCGCGTCTTATGGTGCTGATCGATCGGCAGTGCGCCGTGTGGCGGTGAGCAATGCTGCCTGGCGCGAGGCGCGCGTCGGCGCCCCCGTTTCGCCATCGATCCAAAGTTATAAGCCGGCGGCGTCATTGGAGCGCGATGCGCGGGGGAAATGCGGAGGTCCAAAGGGCCGAGGGCCGCGAAGGCAGCGGTGTGAGGCGCGAAACATAGAATAAAGGTTGCTTCTCGCCTCATTCCGCAAAACGATCCGAAAATCTTCGGCTTGCAGCGTCACATGGGCCACCCAGGCGCACACATGGGCACATGGGCCCGACAACCCCGGGGGGTAGATCTGGACCGCCCCATCCCATGCCCATAGAAATGGGCTTAGTGGGAGCACAGCGCGCCGCAAAGGCGGCGGTTTCAGGGCGAGCTCTGTCTCCGTTGCGTGTGAATTGAGGCGGGCGGCAATTGGAGCCTTGCAAGGGCGCGTGGAGGTGATGGTCGCGGACTGTGGTCTGCTGAAGGAGCTAATTGTATATAATCCTAATTAAGGCTAACTCATTAAAAGTAATTGAAATCAATTGAAATAGATTGATTATAAGTAATGCTGCCTAGGTCCACTCCCGTCGCCACGGAATCTGCAAGGGATGGAGTCGCGGCTGGCCACCACCCTCTGGACGGCAGTTCTGGCGACGGTGACCTTGCTGGCGACGCCGGTGAGTAGAATGTCAAATGGGTGCGCCATTCGCGGCACAGACAATGTTGCTGACATTGCGCCCATCTGCCCCGGGTGCGCAAGGGAAGTATTTGTCCTGTGTTGGAGTTTTCGGCCTCCGTGGTGGCAAGTGTGGTGGGTGGACGCTTGCCAGATTTGCTGGGCGCGAAGTGCAACAATGTTGCTGGAATGGCGCCTCTCACCGCCCAGGGGTTTGCAGGGAACTGCTTTCGCCATGTGTTGTAAAGGTTAAAGAAGGAGTATAACGCCAAGTCGCAGCGCGATGAGTTCCGCAGATGCATTTTCGAGGCGGCGATAGATCGAGAAAGCCGCAGGGGCCGGTGGACTCTTGCCGCGACTGCCAGTCCGAAAATATTTGGATCAGAAGGCGCGTAGTGCAAATCTGACGATCCTTCTCCGGCACCGAATCCCCACGCCGCCACTCGAAGAGATGATCCCTTTTAGTAATGCGGAATCTGCATTACCCTCGTCGTGCATATTTCCGTCGATTTTTGCGCGTCGACTGAACATGATCGCGCTCGTGTACATTAAGTTTCATCGTACACCAAATCGCAAAAGTGTTTGCTGATTCAAACAATCAATTATTCTTCAATGACCAATTTTGTAATAAAATTTCCAAATTCGTCGCCGGTTGTAACATTTGAAGGATTCTTCACTCGTCAGTTTTAGGAACTGTGGGCAAAAACCACCTTGCGTGTGATGAAAACAAAAGTCGATTGCAAGCATTGAAGTACTGGAAAGGATTCCTATTAAAAGGCAATATTACCCACTGCTGAAGTGTGTGCTAACAATTCAAACAACTTTTCCAATCGTGTGCGTGATCCTGCGACCGGACACTGGTTCAGGCGACATGCTTGGAGACGCCTGACCCGAGGAGATGGGCGCCAAATGATCTTGGATCTGGACGTGAGTGAGCCTATGCGCTGCGAAGCACAATCTTCATGCTTTGCATTCCGAGCCTGCTTGTGTATCTCAATCCATCGACTGAAAATTGAGAGCTTGTCCCTAGAAATGGCCGATTGCGGGCGCGCCCTACCGGAGGGTCGCCAAGGAACCCCATCCAATGGGCAAATGTAAAGCAATTGAGTATGTTCGAGCCTGACTGCACATGCC